GTCCTGACATAATACAATGGTAATAAAAGCATCACAAAAGCTTTTATAATTCTTTACTGTATTCGTTCATACCACCGTTACTAAATGAATAAAAGTGGTGGCACTTTTTGCATATTCTGCGCTAATCACAGAAGCCTTTTTAAGAAATCATCCCTAGATTTTTTTATTTAGAGTTTAGAGTTAAGAAGGTAACAGACTGCTTTCAGAAATTATACCCTAGTGATATTTGGTAGCTTTAAAAGATGCCCTTGAAATGCTTGTGGTTATATATACTATTGTTTTAAATTTGTCACCAGTAAATCTCCTTGAACAAAGTATTTACACTCCGGAGGGTGTTAGGTAAAACAAAGCAAAGAAGTTGAAGTTAGGAAGGATTTTACGAGTAAGGCATATGCAACAGCCAGGCTATTCAACACCGTATATTTCTAAATCGAGCATTTGTTTCATATAATAGCTGTCTAGTAAATAAGTATTAATTTCTAAAATATTGGGAGAATGACATTAAAGGATAAAAACAACATCTGACTTATTAATGAGTGAATTCATTTTTAAGTAAAGTATCCTTAACTGAACGTAACGACTTAGGAATCGACTTGTTACCAGGGAATAGTCTTATGGACTTAGAATATGCAGATGACATAGTCCTGTTAGGGGAGGATGATGACAAAATGCAGAGTCTTCTGAACACCTTGAGAAGCAATCTTCGTATGTTTGGCATGCGATTCGACCCTGCAAAATGTAAGATGCTGCTACAGGACTGGACCCCGTCAATCCCTAACTTAGTGATAGGGAGTGAAGTGATAGAACATGTTGATCACTTGACCTATTTGGGAAGTTGTATCAGCAACAACGGACTGATTGGCGACGAAATCTCAGCACGGATCCAAAAAGCTCGAGCTGCTTTCGCTGACTTACACCATCTCTGGCGTAGGCGTGACATCCGGCTATCAACCAAGGGACGTGGGTACTGCTCAGCAATTCGCTCCGTCCTTCTCTATGTCTCTGAAACATGGCCAATACGAGTTGAAGACATGAAAAGGTTGACTGCTTTCGATCATAGATGTCTGCGATCTCTGTCTCACGCTAGGTGGTTTAATAAGGTAAGTAATGTTGACGTTAGGCGTAGAGTGTTGGGCAAAGAGGGAAAATCAATCGACGAGGCTATAAAGTTACATAGATTGAGATGGCTAGGTCACGTGGTGCGCATGACTAACCATCGCCTCCCCCGACGGGCATTACTAGCTGATATAGGTGCAGGTTGGAAAAGAGTAAGTGGTGGCCAAACAAAAACATGGCATCAATCCATGAAATCCTTGACAGTGGAACTGAGTCAGGTAGGGAGATGCAGACTTCTGGGTTGGGGCCCTCGGGACTCTAGGAATCAATGGCTGGAGACAATAGATGACATGGCTCAAAATCGTTGTCAATGGCCAGCGCAGATGTTTTCAGTCTCTGTAATCTTTCATATTCCTTTCTACCATTACCCATTCTGTTTCACTCTTATACTTGTGAAACTCTATTGATTCTCTTCACTTATCCTCCTGTCTACCTCTGTGTGCTATTTGGAACGTGGCAACTCGAACTGGTGCACTTCGGTGCCAAGTTCTATGTTGAATCCAGACAGACAAAGTTCTCACAGCTTACAGGCAATACTTCATTCATCAGTATAATATTCGTAAAATATATCACCCGAAAACTAATTATTTTTTACCAATTTTAATGTTGTTTCCCCAAATTAGAACTACGGCCTAATACAGAAAAGTTTATTGAGCTGTAAATTATTAAAAAGTACTGGACAATGTTTAGATAGATTTCAATCCTCGAATTTGCAACATACTGAAGCAGTTCGGCTACCTTGTCCGAAGTGTTCTAAATTGTAGTAAGGGAACTTAAGATAATCAACTAATTGCCAGTATGACGTAAGCATAAACTAAGTAAAGAATGAGCATGGGAAGAGAACAGGAATTGACTGTTAATTACTATTTGTGTGTTGTGTAATCTACATCAATTAGATGCTAGATTTTTCAGTTAGGCATACATTCTTAGTCAGAAAAATAAGACACTCTAACTACTGACATTAACGTGTGTGTGTTTCTTTATGTAATCCTAAATATGTGCAAGTAAAATCTTATGAAATGAACAAAAGCGAGAGTAAAGACTATCATTGACTCTATATTCAGTTACATTTCCTACAGAGTGGACACCAAACATGTATATTCCATAATGCCTCAGGTTCCTAATTATTTCTAAAGAAAACTACCTCTGTTCTTTTAAACCCCAAATTGTACAAGCATACTGCTACTACTACGACGACGAATACATTAACACTATTCTTTAAAGTTATGGTTTCATTTAACCAATAAAACGATACATTAGTTCAAGCATTTGACATCCACCGAATGGACATTGAATGTAACGTCAAACCCACTTTATTATGGACAACCATGTGGTACCAAAATATTTCACACGTGAAGTGTAAATAGTAGCCGTTGAGAGTGAGGCTATAGTGTCTTCGACCATAGGTACCTATGTTCTACATCTCGAGTCAGGTAACATATCTTTTTACGAGTTGATCACGGATTGGTATCAGTTAGAGAGCCATTGAAAACCAGGGAGTACTGGACAGCTGTTTTATCCTAGTCTTGGAATCATCGGCAGTACGCATCCACTGGGATTCGAACCCAAGACCTTCCGGTTACAAGGCAAGCTCGTGTACCATTCAGCCACTGGAACCCCATTCAATGGCTCATGAATTCTAACTCCTACCAATTCGTGATTTAGCGCGACCCCAGTCAACTCGTAAAAACATGACTAACCCTTACAAACCAAACTATAGAAAAATAACATAATATCATAAGTTATTATGAGGTTGGCCATAATAACAGGTAAGCAGGAAAAGTTAACCGATATGATTGTGGAGTTGCATCAACCTAGTTGACTTTGCAACGTCGATCTATCGCTTTCCTGGGTTGGAAGACAGTTAGAAGTGGCCAGACCAAAACACGGTACTAGTCTTTGATTGTTGACTTGGGACATATAGAAAGCTGTATATTGTGTGACTGCGGTCCTCGAGACGCTAAGAATCAATGACTGAAGGCTGTTGGTGATATGACCCCAAAACTGTTCTTGATGGCACAGGTGCATTCACTGTTCATGATCACCCAGAACCATTAAATCCTTGTTATTTCCCATAAAAAGTATTCTATCTCCTACACATTTCTGTTCATTATAGTCTATTTACATTTCGTTTTTCTTACCCTTATCTATGCTTCTATAAAGTGTGGTAACTTGGACTACTGATCTTTTGTAAAGTTTAACGTTGAAAATCCAGTTGCTTCAGGCAGATAACAACCTAGCACACATATGTATTAAAAATAAGTTTCTAAAGTCTCATTTTCACCAGCTATTTATTTCCTTAGGGATTAACACATTTTTATATTTGAATTTTAGCAGTCTAGGTATACGTATATCTATATAATCATAAAGACAAATAATTTATCTACCTACTGCGTGCATTATTTTATGTACTGCACTATGGCGTCAGTGGCATAGCGGTTAGGACGCTCGCCGACCATGCACATGGTCCGGGGTTCGATCCCCGACCGACGTACTCCAGGGAATAACCTAATGGACTTAGAATATGCAGATGACATAGTCCTGTTAGGGGAGGATGCTGACAAAATGCAGAGTCTTCTGAACACCTTGAGAAGCAATCTTCGTATGTTTGGCATGCGATTCGCCCCTGCAAAATGTAAGATGCTGCTACAGGACTGGACGACGTCAACCCCTAACTTAGTGATAGGGAGTGAAGTGATAGAACATGTTGACCACTTCACCTACTTGGGAAGTTGTATCAGCACCAACGGACTGATTGGCGATGAAATCTCAGCACGGATCCGAAAAGCTCGAGCTGCTTTCGCTGACTTACACCATCTCTGGCGTAGGCGTGACATCCGGCTATCAACCAAGGGACGTGGGTACTGCTCATCAGTTCGCTCCGTCATTCTCTATGGCTCTGAAACATGGCCAATACGCGTTGAAGACATGAAAAGGTTGACTGCTTTCGATCATAGATGTCTGCGATCTCTGTCTCACGTTAGGTGGTTTAATAAGGTAAGTAATGTTGACGTTAGGCGTAGAGTGTTGGGCAAAGAGGGAAAATCAATCGACGAGGTTATAAAGTTACATAGACTAAGATGGCTAGGTCACGTGGTGCGCATGCCTAACCACCGCCTCCCCCGACGGGCATTGTTAGCTGATATAGGTTCAGGTTGGAAAAGAGCCAGTGGTGGCCAAACAAAAACATGGCATCAATCCATGAAATCCTTGACAGTTAAACTGAGTCAGGTAGGGAGATGCAGACTCCCGGGTTGGGGCCCTCGCGACTCTAGGAATCAATGGCTGGAGACAATAGGTGACATGGCTCAAAATCGTTGTCAATGGCGCAGATGTATTCAATCTCTGTAATCTTTCATATTCCTTTCTACCATTACCCATTCTGTTTCACTCTTATATTTGTCAAACTCTATTAATTCTCTTCACTCATCTTCTTGTCTACCTCTGTGTGCTATTTGGAACGTGGCAACTCGAACTGGTGCACTTCGGTGACAAGTTCTATGTTGAATCCAGACAGACAGACAGACGTACTCCTTTACCTCGTTGAGCCAGAAATAACGCTGGTAAAGAGGAAAGGTTGGGCATGCGGCTAGCAACCCCATCCTGTAAAAATAAACACTGCTACAGAAACTTCAAGCCAATAGCTTGATGCCCTATGTTCCACTGGGGAACGTGAAGGAAAAAAAAACTATGAGTCACACTTGAAGTACGCGAGATGATGACAAAACTTGGTTGCATAGATCAAAGTAGGCAAAATTACAATCGATTAGCTACTGTCAACGAAACATTTTATTTCTTATCCCAACACTTTGTCTTTCCTGTCTCAAATATTTCCCATGTCACATTTTTAGAGATTATCAATAAGACCTTTATAACTAGAATGCCTTAATTTACTTCATACCATAAATGACTAGTACTGAATTCCTTTAGAGATATACTATGAGCACATTTTTTATCAAAAAGACTATACATCATTAGGAAGGTTAAATTTATAAAGAGATTATAGTAGAATTTACATATTCAAATTGAGAAGTATATTTTAGTGGGTAAATGTGAGCTAATAGATACAGCTGTTTTCTTTAACAGTGCTATATAAATTGTTCGAAGTCACTGGACATTGAACTTATGGAAAAGGAAGTGAGGAAATTAGATGTAAATACACTTTCATTTAAAAGTACTGAGAAAATTGCATCACATTATGAATGATTTCGACCATCCTTTGATAACCAATATATCAGTCAATACACGTAACAATTGACAGAAGAATTACATGCTTCATGAAGTTAGACATCAGTTATGCTTGGTTAAATGAATTTAACACAAAAGCTGTTAGTATTTCATGAGAATAATTAACTGGATGCAAATTTTATTGGACCATCACCAGGGATGCCAGGAGCAAAACCACCCCAGGATCCAGTTGCACAACTACAGAAAATAACTCGATAAAACAGGAACCAACAGGCCACAGCAAGCGCTGTTCCTAACAGTTTTGACGGCATTGTGTGAAAATATATAACCGTTGAAAGGAACATAATATCCCAAAGCATTGACAAACAGGCAGTGAATGAAAATATGAGGCGTACAATGGTCGTCAATCTTCGATATGCTGAACGCATTATGTCGAGCTGTTGCTCAGGAATATGTCTAGTAGCGCTAAGATTACGTGATTGATTTGAATCATTGCTCTTATTTGGTTGCAAGATATCCGATAGCTTACTCCAGTGTTGCATGCAGCTTAGTTCCTCCATAATCCATAAATTAGAAAGCACCAACAGAAAACAGTGACCTGATATATCAAATCCTAGCCAAATACCCCCCGCTCTCTGACATGGCATCCTTTGATTAGGACGGAGTCCACTGGGAAGAGTGACTGACGCTGGATGACAATGCCCTGTCCAGTCATGAATTAAATTTATAAGGCCAGTACCGCTATACCAACATCCAGAACCAACAGCTAAACGTAGAATGTGTGCACGCATAAGCCTGACGTTGCCACCCGTATACACAAAAGAGGAAACAATTACAAAGGCTGCGAGGCAACCACACGTCCAAGCCCATCCTAACTTGACGAAAAACTTATTAAAAGGATTTTGTTTGTTAGAAAAGTAAGTTGGTGGAGCCCTTATGAAATCGAATATAAGAGAAACACCAGCTGCCAGACAAAGATATACTCCAGCTTTAATTGCAGGATCAACAAAAATCGGTCTTCGAAGGGTTGAGAACAACAAGAGATCCAAGAAATGTAGGGGAGAAGTTGGACCAGGTACTGATCTCTTAGGTGTTCCTGGCTCATTAGGTGTGAGTGGCGAAGAGTGACTTGTACTAAATTTTTTCATTGCTGCTGGCTTCATTCTACAAAAAAAAAGAATCGAAATGAAACTTTAAACTATAATTCAAATTTAATTCATAAATTTCCAGTCATTAACCACATTATTTACTTTTGAAATATATAGTTAACGGTACTAGGCAGCGTCTGGGAATCAGAAGAAGTCCCATCGGGTTGGTGTAAGTCACTGATTATCCCGATACACAAGAAGGGAGACAAGTCTTCCTGTGATAATCACAGAGGGATCAGCTTGACTAATATAGTATCTTAAGTCTTAGGCTCAATAATCATGCGTAGACTGAGTGGTGCTCGGGAAGCACAAACACGAGAGAGCCAGGCAGGCTTTAGACCAGGAAGAGGGTGTATTGATCATATCTTCACCCTCCGACAGATTCTAGAACATAGGAATTCCTACCGGCGTCCAACAATCATTATATTTCTTGACCTAAAGGCAGCTTTCGATTCTGTCGATCGAGAAGTTCTCTGGAGATGCTTGGCTGTAAAGGGAATTCCGAGAAAATATATTGCACTGATTAAGGCACTCTACTCGTACTCATACAGCCAGGTGAGGGCTTACGGCGAGCTGTCATCTGAACTGATGACGACCAGTGGTGTCCGTCAAGGATGCCCATTATCTCCTTTTCTATTCAACTTTATCATAGATGTGTTAATGGACTTAACCCTAGGTGACTTCAGCGACTCAGGGATTGACTTGCTACCGGGGAATAATCTCGTTGACTTGGAATATGCAGACGATATAGTCCTTCTAGGCGAAGACGCTGACGAAATGCAGAGTCTTCTAAACACCTTGAGCCGCAATCTACGAATGTTTGGCATGCGATTCGCTCCCGCCAAATGCAAGATGATGTTACAGGACTGGACTACATCGACGCCTAGTTTAAAAATAGGAAGTGAAGTGGTAGAGCACGTTGACCGCTTCACTTATTTGGGAAGTACCATCAGCCAACGCCAACGGGCTGATCTCTGACGAAATCGCAGCACGGATACAGGGTGCTCGTTCCGCATTTGCCAGTTTACGCCGACTCTAGCGTAGACGAGATGCTCGACTATCGACCAAAGGGCGGGTGTACTGCTCATCAGTCCGCTCCGTCCTCCTTTATGGTTGTGAGACCTGGCCACTCAGAGTGGAAGACATGAAAAGACTAGCTGTCTTTGATCATAGGTGCCTGCGCTCTATTTCCCGTGTAAAGTGGCATAATAAGGTGAGCAACATTGAGGTTAGGCGTAGAGTTCTAGGTAAACAGGGGAAATCGATCGACGAAGTCGTGAAGCTACAAAGACTGAGATGGTTAGGACATGTGTTACGTATGCCAAGCCATCGCCTCCCTCGACGAGCAATGTTAGCAGATATAGGGTCAGGCTGGAAAAAAGCTAGCGGCGGTCAAACAAAAACTTGGCACCAGTCAATGAAATCCACAACAGTTGGTCTAAGCCACGTAGGAAGGTGTAGACTTCCAGGCTGGGGTCCTCGGGACGGTAAAAACCAATGGTTGGAAACAATTGGTGACATGGCTCAAAATCGTTCTCAGTGGCGCAGATGCATCCACTCCTTGTGACTTATGATCTCCAATGAAACTGTTTTGTTCTTCGTTATTACTCCTCCTTTGTCTCACCCCTCTGCTCACTGTTTCAATCATGCTTTTCTTATACTTTCTCCTCTTGCTTCGCGTGCTACACGGAGTGTGGCGACTTCAACTTCCGCACATTTGTGCAAAGTTCTATGTCGAAAACAGACAGACAGTTAACGGTATGCAAACAAAATTTTGAGGTTGGGGTTTCTAAAGTGAAAAGTTTTGATAATCTCTTGAAAAGAAATACTTACATCCGCGAAAACACTTTAATCGACATGGCAGATGCTATCCAAAGTACAAGATTGTTAGTTAGTGCTGTGTTGACTAGAACTTCGGTCCACGGGTATTTGCACCGTTAAGTATAAGTGCTGACTGTTGCAGACTTGATTCACAGCTTACTATACACACCCACATGTCACTCCTGAACGGAGTCTTCTCATAACAGTGAACATAGAAAAATGGTTCCATATAATAGAGAAACTGATGATATACTGTATTAGAAAGTCTGTTTGTAGTGATATGAAAAGGGCCCGTTCCAGTCACTATATTCATAATATTTATAGAATAAAAAATACTATTGTACATTAAGCACGAAGATTAGCTGGAAATGTTTTGTCCGATAGAAAAATTTTGAAATGTCTAGTTACATGGCAAAAAATAGCGTTCATTTTAATATAACTGCATCACTTACAGCAAGCTAAAACATAACTTCATGGTGGTATTTTTTGATGTACTACAGTCAACTGTTTCAAGTTTGCGCATATAAACCAACAGGCCATGACTTTAGCTACACAGAGCTCTTAAGATAAAATTAAGAAAATATATCGAATTGATGGGCTCTTGTTGATTCGAAACAACTATGACAACTACAGTACGTAATGAAAATACTATCGTTGCAGGTAAACGTAAATATTACAAATCGTTAGCACAAAAGTCCAGGATGTACATTTAGAAACTATGTTTGTGTAACTATCAGTGGGTAAAATACGAAATTACGGTAGATAAACAAACAGTTAAATAACTTTTTGAAAACCCCAAATATATGCAACTTTTACATTAATTAAATAATCAACCGCAAAAACTGTGTTGCATCTTTCATAGTATTACAGTAAAAAGAAAAGCAGTGCTAAATATATTGTGTGGAAAACTTAACCCTAACTGTATAGAATTTCCTGGATACATTAGCTCATGTATTGTCACACTTCGTTGAATGATATGAAAAATAGTGAGAAAGTGACTAGCTTTCTAATCTACTTATTAACTTTTCGGTTTGGTTTTTAAAATTATTCATTGACTCACATCTCCAGAAAAATACATCACAGTCACTTTACACCACATTATCATTGCCTTGTAATTCAAACAGTATTTAGCCGATTTAACAAATGTTGCCGTAAGAACATTTGAGTCTGTCATCTGATAATAAATACAAACGTATATTTTTCACATACTGGATAGATAGTATCATGAAGGCATGGTTGACAGGCTGAATTAATTGATTTCAACCACGGCTTCCTGAGTCTAAATTTAACTCTACATAAATCAGCCCAGGGAAAACATTTCAGTTTGATAACTGTTATTTCATAATTTTACAGAAACATTGCAACAAATACTGGCTGTTCATTCTCTCACATAAAGTAAATGCTCCAACAGCCGATTTATCAACTTGCCCTTGGACAAGTGAAACTCCTAGCTCTGTGTAAACATTAATTAACACCCACTAGAAAAAACATCAACCTTTGGTGCGTTGTAGGAACTTCACACAGAGGTATTTTAAAAGTCGAAACTGTTATTTTATTCAACCGACATTCACTTTCACACTTGCTTATTTTCCAAGATTAAACGAATTATCATAAATAACGTTGATAAGCTACGCATTTCTCTTTCTTAATATCCGAAACAAGCAACAAATGTTAATAAAGCAGGATACAATCAATTCGTCAAACTTTGGTAGAGCTCTTTAGCTTTATATATATATATGCCATTACAGTAACATTGGGAGAAATACGGCTGATAAGTAGATAAACTACACTGAATCAAACATGCGAAACGACAGGTGTGAATGTTTGTCACGTCATGATCAGATAGATAAGAGGGAGTTTGAGAGATTAAAATTAATATAATAATTGATTACGATCCAGTTACATCACCTGAACAGAAATTAGTTATTAGAGAAAGAACTTGAATTTATCAAGAATAGCAAACTGGATAGTATTGATAATTGGGGTGGTAATAATAGTAATAATAATAATAATAACACTAGCAGTTATAAAATGAGTTAAGATGATGGTACTGATAAAGAATAGCTTTAAATTGATCAAGAGTAATATTAAGAGATAGAATAAATATAGAATAATAAGAAAAAATAACATTTATTTTGTGAGATACATTAATATGATGGATTCGGAGTGACCATCATTTCCTTCCGTACACAGACCGGATTTATAAACTCTAGTTGCAGAAGTCTCCGCAACTGCAAGCATCTTCTTGTCTGTTTGTCTTCTGTCAGCAGTGAATCACTTGACAATATCATGTCATTAGTCTAGAAGATGCTTTGTTATTCAACTGTTTTGTACCTTTGTACTGTTTTCAACCACTCTGGCAAATGTTCCATCATGCAAGTAGACAAACGCCTTTTCATAGTTTATAAGTAATTGTTTTTACAAACACAGTGACCTACACAGCTTGAAATGTCAAGGATTGGCGATCAGTCTTCCACATAGCTTTGAAACACTCGCTTGGTGACCTTAAATGACACTAGGTTTGCAATATAATAAGTTCTTCTGATAGCTTTATCGTCTTCGTTTGACTGCTTCTTGTAAACCACCTCCTTTAAGTGGTAAACTGATTTTATCCAGTTTTCAGTAAAAATGTTTGGATAATTTTACTGGAGCTTATTTCTTCAGAATATTTACTGGTGAACCTCTCAGCATATCCATTCTAATATAAAATATCCTCCAGAGTTTTTATTTCATATTCAACTGTGCGGTTAGAACAAATTTTGCGTGGTTTTATGGACAATGCTCTGACCAAGTTGTTTTTATACTGGATTGGAACAAAGCTTTTAAAATGTATATACTTTTCCGTCCATGAAAACTTTCTAAACACAGACCTTTCCATTGTGTCATCAGTCCATTTCTCTGGAAAAACATTTAGAAATTTGATGGAATTATCCTCCTCGTGTTCTGTTACGAAGTTAAGATTCGGATGAAATGTATTGAATTTCACCAATAACTTTACCGCTTTTGACTTAATTTCACGGACAATAACATAACCATCCGATTCTGTCTCTGTCTGTCTGTTTTCAACATAGAACTTTGCACAAATTTGAGGAAGTTCAAGTTCAACCATCCGATTATCTTATACATAATTACGTTTGCTGTATATTCGGTCGCAAAATACTGGCTGTTAGGCCTGACAAGAGTAAATCTACAAACAATGGACTCACGGGACTTCACATTGCGACACCATCAACTTGATGAAATAGACGCCCATGTAGTTGAAATTGAATACTTTCAGTACATAAAATTAACAATTTCCTCAGTTTCGTTGTTGGAATAGGTATGTTGTTGACTACTCTGCAGTTACATTGAGATCCTGAATCAGAAACAATGTACCAGAGCGTCTTCGTGGAGGCTGCAGTAATTTACATAGCCACTGTGCTAATTTATGGTAAGGTGAATTTGCCATTAGCAGTATGAGTCTTAGGACCGCATCTAGCTTGCATGTTTTTATGAACCCATTTAATTTTGTGGTCCGTGACCCAATCTGCTTAATATTCCTGACTGTGATTTCATCAGTGTATTTCTGCAGGAATAGGTGTCGTATATGTCTCACAATTTTATTTTCAGTGGGGAATGTTTTGTCTTTGGCACTAATAACAACTTCTAACGATAACACCTAGCTTAGGATGGGAACGGTATAGTGAGGGTCTTTATCCACGAGGATAACACAGTGATGACAAAAGAGATGACCTATTATGATCCCCTACTTTTCAATATATGGTTGGAAATCCCGTGTCAAAAACCTACTAGCATGTGCAACAATTTAGACAGACTTTCCGACTAACAGTAACAGTGCTATTGCGAATATCAAGATGAGTTTAAGTAACTACCAAATATGTGTTACGCAAATCAAGCTGCCATCTGCATTGACCAGCAACGTCAAGCGAAACAGAACCGGGTTGGAAAGTTAAAAGATGGCAACAATTCAGGCAGTCTTTGATTGCTGATTTGAGCCACCTACGAATGTGCATAATACATTGCTGAGCTTCTACGTATGCTAAGAACATAGTTGACGACCACTAGAGACAGAGCTCACGACCAGGAGGAGTTAAACTAAAGCAGTTACCCTGATGCATTACCAAAGGTCACTCACAGTTTCTATAACCAAATCATATGACTGCATTTACCTGACTTCCCCGGAGACCGACTATTTCATTAGTGCGAATGATGGATTAGCAGGAGTTACTATGACGTGCATTTCCTAGGGAAGCTTGACAGAATAACCAGTCTTTTGGGAGAATGGGGATTTCGGGGTAGAGAAATTATAGATTCGAAAACATTCACGGATCTCAGAGCACCATTTTGTAAGGTCATCTTCCCAACAGTTTTGCGACTTTTAGTGCCCCTTCATTCTCAAAGCCAGCTGGAGTAGATTAACTTAGCCCAAGACTGTTAAGAATGGCTCAAATAAAATCACCTGTTACCAACATCCAGCTTTTGAAAATCTACACTATGCCCATAACTACTGTCATGCTTACACAATTTCTGAGACTTTCAATACATTTTTCTTTCCTTTTTTCGTTTGCCTTCTCGAAGAATAAGTTCTTGGACTGAATATAGTACGTGTTCAAATGTTTGTTTGTGAATGAACAGATGTTATCACAAGACCCGGTGAATCAGAATTTCAGCTTAACACATACTTTGTAAGTTGTCACAATCATTAGCTGATATAAATACAGATACGAAACAAACACCGCGTAAAAATCAAAAACCCTATGCCCTTTCATAGATGAGAGTGAAAGAATTTCATTGATCGAGTATTCAAAAGCCATTCCAATAAGCCTATTAATGAACTTCAAGTGACTGTCCCTCTCTTAGAAATCTATTTTTCTTTAAGAAAACAACTGCTTGTTACAATGACTTAGAGAAGTGTTTCCGTCTAAACATATCAGCCACATTAATTTACCAATCATTTGACTGCCGGAAAATGCAGTTTACAGAAAGTTACACCGAATAAACTTACACTCAAATATATATTTAAATGAAGGCAGTACAGTTTGAGCGACGATGCAGAACAGTATGGGATTCCGAAACGCCACAGACTCCTTAGGAGAAAGTAACGCACAAATCAAAGGAGTGCCAAATTCAATATCCAGATTCAGATTAAGCGGATAGAAGTCTCTTGTTACCTATGTTAATCTTTGCGATAAATATCTCAGCAGATATCTTATCTCTCTAGGAATGAGAGAAAAGATTTTAGGGTCAATCCATAACTCACCCTTTAACATGCCAAAATTAATTCGACTCTCCTCCTTCGGTATGATAATAGGAAGAGATTTAAATGCTCCATCCTCTTACCATAAGGAAGGTGTGAGATAGCATTAACTAATTTGGTTCCTACCCTCTGTAATCTTTCCAGTATATGTGTTTCCATCTTGAAGCATTGTCGTACCACTTATATGCAGTATTCTAGGTGAGGTCCGATATATGTTGTTCAGAGTACTTGGAACATACAGTCGTCTAGTGGTTTGAAAGCTCTTCGAAGTACCATAGTATTTGTAAAGACTTAGCCGTAGATCCCTTACAAATCAACCGTTGCTTTCAAGTCATAGCTTGCGATAATTCACAAGTAATTTTGTCCCTTAACATCAGGCAGCACTGTTTCCTCCAGGGAGTACGACATGTACGAGCACTGAACTAGGTCCATTACTACAAATTCCTTGGAATTAAACTCCGTATTCGAGAAATCAGTCCGAGTGCCGTTCTTCGTATATGTTGTCATTACATTGTGTCTGACATTTTTTCTTGAAATTCGGGACACAATGACTTTTGTAGTGTCCAATTCTCAAATTTTTGTCGTACTCAACTAAATGCTATCTGATTACTTTACAGCAGCTAAGACTCAAGATTTTTCGGTGCTGATGGCCCTCACTCTTCAGCCTCCAATATTCTGAGCATCCAGAGTATCCACGAGGTTGGTCCATATAAAAGCACAAATCGCCTCGTTACTTATCCTTTCTCAAAAGATATAGTCCGACTTAGTTATTTTCAGTGTAACACAACAAATAATCTAGCAATCTCTTCTGGGGAAATTTTTTACAGTAATGATACTTATTTCGGTATTTCCACTACTATTTGTAAGAATTATCCTTTATCTCTAACCTTTACATCATTGTTTTGACATTTTCCGACATAAACTTTATGGGTTGTCTTTATGTTTGCCTGACTTTTATTCCTAATTGTTTAATATTACCACTGAATTTATCATATTAGGTTGCGGTTAGACACTGTTAGAATATAATATTTGATTGTGTGGGATTTATTGTGGTATGTCAAACGACATATAACAACGCAGTAAGTCATGAGTTTCGTACTAACTCGGTTTTATTGACTCGTTCCTTGCGTTCATATTAAAATACTAGCTTTTGAACACTACAATGAGTTTGCTTTAGAACACCAGTGAAGAAAACTCAGGTATCTTTAGTGTCACAATCTACAGCCATGCTAAACTCAGTGACCAACAGGAGTTTCGAAAGCTCTTCTGACACATGCATTTAAGGGAAAATAAACCCACACAGATACTCTGTCGAATGACTCCAAGATCGGTGATAGTGTGGTGGTGTTCCAACGGAATATTATTCCCACATATTACCACAGTTCAATACAACATCAGCAACAGAACACTACATGTGTATTTGAACATTCTATTTCATGTCATTTAATGTAAAACAAAACCACATGCTCATTGATTGCTCGAAGAATATAAACCATATATATATATGTTTGATCAATCGAAAATATGCCCTTGCTTCCGTGTCTCGCCTCGTGCCTTTACAACAGTAGCGATTACCACGAGTTGTGTAAAGGATTCCTGCACCGTTCCGAAATCCCCCTTTAATGAAGCTTGCAGGTTTCAATGAAGTAGCTCCGACAGCCATACTGTATACAGAAGAACATAAATATTGATCTAGCATTCCAAGTTGTCAGTATATACAATGATAATCCCTGTCCGATTTATACTAATACAATGCGCATTGTAGTTTCAACGGCAAAATATATGCCTGGTTTTGAATATTTAGAGTTTATTGCGCGTATCAACTGGTGACAGCAGTTGACATCGCCAGTGGACCATACGTTTATCGCCTGTTCCACATAACAGATATTTATTCTGCAGTACATTCTCTGGGGGATAACCGAGAGAGAGGTAACATCATCTCACCTAGCACTCAGGAGTAAATGAGGTTAACATTCATATATTTGCAGATGGTTTGTCTGTTCTGTCTTACGGTAGGACACTCCTTTAGTTAGACAATGAATTTCTCTGTTCAATTTGTTAGGTTTTCATTACCAATGAGATCACACTGATATTACTGATATGGGGCCCTGAGCATAGTGTCAGCTGCTGGTTGAATTAGGTAGAGGTAAGTCATTGTATTGCACCACAAGAATTTGTGTCTCCCTGTTCGCCAGACGTACCCGTGTGGCGTGTGCTACTGACAACATTTACCAATAGCATATAAACAGACGTTAATCGGCATGAAAATATCTAATAGCGGGGAGATAGATTTGTCGTCAAGGACATGAAATGAACCAGCGTTGCAGCAAAACATGGGAGACGTGAGAAGAACAAAAAGAAACACAATACGGATAGCAGGAGTAGCACAACACTGTAGATCTGTGAAAACGACGATATAATGTACCTAATTTCGATATATATAGGTATCAAATTCCAAATAAACATTTATTTACCAAGCCTCTTGTCTTCTGTCATTGCGCCCGCTACGCTGATAATCCCACCCATACCTTCATTACTCAGGTGTTTCCGAACATCTACAAACCAACCTCCATTATACTTTATGTAAGTTTAACGCGTAACTTCTTGCAGCAACAGTGAATGTCTCATCAGTGTCCTCTAAGGGATAGTATTTATATCTAGAAAAACAGGAGGAAAAGTGAAGGAAAGAGGGATCATCAAATCATCTGACAGCCCACTGGTTTCACTTAGTGATGAAGGACATTTGGATGGATGGACGGCATAACAATGACCACCAAGAGCTCAGCGTGAAAGAGATACGAGATTGTTACCCAGTGTTTCACATGCACAAGTTGTTTGTATCTTTTATTATACCTCTGCCCTCGGAAAAACAAGAGATATTCAGAGAAAAGTTGCTTTCTTCATCGATACCATTCTCAAGCCCTCCAGTGCCATGCATACATATATATATATATATGTAATGCAATGAACATTACTCATGTGGAAACTAAATCAAACTTTGTCAGGTAAACCGCGCGACGCAACATACTTTTTGGGAATGAGTATGTGTGTATACTCAGCTAGTGAATAGATAGAGTAGTCAGAAGAGTGAGTCAAGGGAGAATGTGCAGCAGTAAACGAAGAAATTAGATTTGTCACCATAAACAGTGTGTCTACAATGGGGATAAGCCGTTTGGGTACAGTCCCTCAGTCCCTGAATCACCATTCCGATTTAATTGGTGGGTGGTTACTAGCAATGGAATCCAGGATGCGCATTTCTTCCACCAATTAAATTGTAATTAAATGCCCAGACATCGTCGAAGCATCTGCACAAGAAGCCGACATGTCAATCCGGGCCGAGGATAAACGTTGTCGCGCTTTAAATTTACCGCGCTTCAGGTTTTCTCGTCTTTCATTGGCTAGAAAAGTAGCGGTCAACTGGATTTTTGACTTGTCCTAGGTAGGTGCTATCGTGTGCGGTTTTGTGTGGTTGTGTTATGCGTGGTTCGCAAGCAACTTTGACGAATATAAATGTAATATTTGACTATTCTAACATTGTTTCACTGTTTTTTATACAGATACAGTGTTCTTTTTGATGTACAGCCTGAGATCAAGCGCTTCAGTCCAATCAATCGACGGAAAATCTAAAATTCAATTAAGACACCATCTGCATTGCACGGATGGTACAGTTGCATTCTGCCAAATAACTGTAAGGGCGTCAAACTCGAAAAAAGTAATAGGAGTACACTCGGGTCTTTGCTCTTCGATGAACTACCCTTAATGCATTGCCACGAGGAAGCCTGTAGCAGCAGGGGATTCCCCAGAATTATTAGCCACAGCATTAATCACTGAACATTGGATACTGACCCTCACTGTTTAGGTCAATTTGTTTAGCTGAAGGCATACAGTCACGCATCCACGCCATTCGGCACGCCGTCGTGTCACGTTCGTTCATTCGAACACGGTTGCTAGCTATAACAATAATAATATATTTATTCCTATCTATGTAGGACACACCAGTTGTACAGGTATGCATAAGTATTATTTAGATTGCATGAATTTAATTTATGTGGCTAGTTAGGAAATCATCTTACACTCTGATTTGGTCCCGAAATATAATTCGTAATTTCAACGATCAGTTCTAGTACGCGGAACGAGTACTATAGACGTTGTCAGCCAAGTCTCATAAACTGTCAATGTCCAGCTCTAGCTACGCCGGACCTCACGCTGTCCCTCGAAGACTTTCAGAAACGCTTTGTATTAACCAACGCGAAAACCAGAACACTGATTGGCAACTCAAGAATCATTTAATCTTACGCCAACATATAACCAACAATAATGTTCTTACACAAGGTCTAGGAATAAATGTTATAACAATAAATCACGGTAATACTTATGTCAATGTAGTTGAAGATTGAACGATCAACTCATGGTTTTTTGCTCAAAATCAACTTCCCCAATTTTCGCGGAGGCATCAATACGACAGTCATCGTCTCATCGGTTGCTGTTTAGAAAGAAGTCAGGAGACAACCGTCAGAAGTAATATTGTGATTTATTATTGTAATATTTGTTCACAGACCTTAGTTCAATTATTATTTTTATATGTTGGTGTTACAATAAAGAATTCTCGAGTGGCCAATCGGTGTTTTGGTTATTTCGCCCGTTATTACTAAGCGTTTCTGAGAAACTTCAAGGAACAGCGTGAGTCCCAGCGTAGCAAGAGCTGGGCATTGACGGTTTACGAGACGTGGCTGAGAGTTTCTGACGGTAGAAACAGATTCTGGCGGATTCA